AGCACAAGTTTTACGGCACTATCGACTCAAGACCTTTTATTTGCCATATATGTTTCTGTATAAAGACATATATCGTGTGATGCATGACTGAATATGTGGTATTCTCTCTAAAGTGATTGGCTTTCCATGTGCAATTACTGTGTGGATATCTTTGAAGGTGTCTTTTATGTGAACAAATTTCTCTATCAGAACAATTAATGCGGTGTCTATTATGCTTTGATTTCGTGTACATGCAATTGTTCTTTTTGTTAAAAATAATGCTAGCTGTCTGTACACATGGGCTGTGATGTATTTATGGCAGTGGTTTCCTATAAATGAACGGCTGTGGTAGGCCTGTGGTGTGATGCTGTGTTGTTTGAGGATGTTATCAAATTTAGAGCAGGCAGGACTTGACCTTGGAATAAGCTCCTCAAACTCTAACTCTGACAGCTGATCATGTACACTAGAACCCTCCCTCTCAAATCTCTCTGCTTCTCGTGGATTATCTGACAAAACCTGACAGCCCTGTAACAATTGAATGTCCCCCTCGTTTTTTTCAGCCCTCTTTCATTTTTTGCCGTAGATATGCACATTTGTCCAGCTGTACATCTATATCATGTGCAGCCTCCTCAAGAAGGCGATGATGTTTGAGCACAATGCCCACCATATGATCATGTTGAGTATGGCACTCCATGACAAAAATATTGTTAACAATGACAACGAAAATATGATGTAGTAGAGGCAAGAAAACTAAAAACAGCAAGGATGAATGTTCAGAGTGGTGGGTTGGTATTTTTTTTTTTAAATCACAGAAAATCATAGAATAACTTAGTGCACTTGAAACTTGCACATGTAAATGAAAATTGTCATCACAGTTGATACGTGAATTTCTGTTTAAATCGTAGGGGGCCGGATTGAAATATTTAAATCCAAACTGAAAAAGTTCTGAGCATTGAAGATGCCAGTATGAAAATCACAGACTTAATCCCTTGTAAAACTGATATAATCGGACTTACAAGAAAACAAGTTATACCGGCTTACAGGTCAAACATAGCACGTTACAATAAAATCTCAATCGGCCTTGTAGCATTTATAATTTCAGAGTTAGGAGGCTTTCAATTCGCACTAAAACGCCATATTACTACTGCCCTGGCACAGGAGGCGTGGCGCTGCGGTCACCCCAGTTAACCCCTCTGACAAGTGATTTATGACTATGCGCTGGGCTGTCGGGCGGGGCGGGCAGGGTGGTGAGGATGGTCGGGGAGGAACCGTGGAAGAAAAACTAAGTGAGCGGTCTGGACAGTTTTTTATCCGCTGTGCGTGGCAAAAAAAAACTGGGTGATAGGAAAGTTTCATTTTTCCTGACTAAATTTCTGGAAGTTTGCTTATTTTCACTTGTTAACTTGAAATACTAGAGTGTAAGATGCCGTTCCATGCTTCGAAAAGTTTGGGACAACAGTGGGCTCCGATTGCATTGTCAAGAGCTGCAGTTACAAAATCATTTTTTTGCATTTAGCTTCCAGGGAAATGTTTTTGCTCTTAGCGCACTGGTGCCTTCAAGGACTAATCAGAGATCAAATTAAACTGTTACTGCTGCCTTTACAGTGTGATTACACTCTTATTTATTATGTTTTAGGAAAGGACAGCTTTTTTTCTCTCCGAGTTCCCAAGTTAAATGAGACTTTTCAGCCCACAAAGCACTATGTGGTGCAGATTTGTGTAGTTGGGACACAGACTAGTCTCCATGATATATGTAACTGGCTGTAAGTCTTTGTTGTTTTCCATACCAGTGGGGTATATCATCGCTGCAGGTTTCTAAACAATTAACACCTTGACTGCTAATCATAAGTCTACCACATCCTGCAGTGACGATATATAACTGATATCTTCCATGTTTTTAAGCTTGTTTCATTAAAGCTTCTATTTTAAAAAAGGCTGCAGTGTTCATTTTGATGATGTGAAGACTTGAAAAACAGAATCTCATGATAATAATAATAATAATAAATAGCATTTATACTGCGCTTTTCCATTTTCTAAAAGATGCTCAATGCTCATTACAACGAAAAAGACATCACATCTTAAAAATTAATCGACAAGTGCGTACGTAAAACAACGTATTATACATATAATATAAATGCAAATGTGTAAAATTTTATATGAGAAAAATAGTCTCGCAGTGAGGTTGAAAATGTGTTCACTAAAAAATACAATGCAATAAAAATTCACGAACGGTCACAAAAGTTGAAACGTGAGTAACTAGAAACATTCATTAAATCATTAATTCTATACCGATAGAAAAACAAAACATTTCCGTTCTCTCTCTCTCTCTCTCTCTCTCTCTCTCTCTCTCTCTCTCTCTCCCCCTCTCTCTCTCTCTCTCTCCCTCTCTCTCTCTATCTCTCTCTCTTTTCTCTCCCTATCTCTCTCTTTTTCTCTCTCTCATTCTCACACGCTATTTCTTCAGTCTCACAGTCTGGCATACACATGCACATATATCACAGTACATCATTATGACAGGTATGCTTTTGTGAATAAAAAATGCTTCAGCTGATTTTTGAAAATGGAAATTGTTGGAGCAGATCTTATTTTATATGGGAGTTCGTTCCATACCTGGGGACCAAAGAATAAAAAGGAACGTTCGCCGTATGTTTTGTAATTTTGTTTTGGAGTTTTAAGAATTAGATTATCAGAGGCTGATCTAAGGGCTCTAGGTGGATGATATAATTCCAGGAATGTTTTAAGATTATAAAAAGGTGCACTATCATTTATACATTTATGATGTTACAGTTCTGTTTTCCTTTTCTGCCAGGTTATAGTTATACTCGGATTGCATGTAGTAGCTTTATGCAGGGATTGTTGTAACATGTTTTGAAAGCGTTATAATGCTACATGTGATCTTTCAAACTTTTTTTCAGGTGGGTCTCTAACGTGCAATGACAATTCTCCAAGTCGAGTGAAACGGCTCAAATCCGTCTTGAGGTCCTACTTGCCAAAAGATGATTTAGGTCAAGTGGAAGTGATGCAGCTAGATGGAACTATGCTGAACCATTGTGTCTATAACAAGGTATAATGACCACTATCTTTGTTTGTCCGCTATACATGTTTGCATGTCTTTGAATTTCTGTCAATGTGGAGACTTGTTCAGCACATTGGATTGCTCCCTGTCTTCACCATTCTGCTCTCCAAATGCTTCATCATCCTTCGCTTTTTTCACCCGTCTTTAAGGCTTTCTACCTGTCTCTGTTCAGGCCTCAGCTTAATATGGTGGTGTAATGCTACCGACTGTCCCAGGAAGTTCAGCTTCACAAGTCCTTTTGGCATGGGGCTCAGGGCTCAAAGGGCTAAGAGGTCCTAGAAGTTACAGGAGATAAGCTGAATTTATGATAAATGAAAATTGATTTACTCACAACATCACATATTAGAACATCATCATCATAGGTCATAGCTCAGCTGCAAAGATTAAGGGAAAGATAAGGAGAAGATGTTGAGTTATCTTTGATAGACTCTCAGGAAAGATAGAATATAACATTTTGATCTGAGCAGTGCAGAACAGAAGGGTTGGAAGAATCTTAGCCATTAGTGGTAAACCTAATATTCAACTTTGTGCAGTGGGAGACATTGTATTTTTATTTTTTTCTCGTCTCCTCATTTCAGGTTTTAGTGGATGTACCTTGCAATGCAGACAGACATGTACTGACAGAAGAAGAAAACAACCTGTTCAAACCGTCACGGACCCGAGAGCGGTTGGCTGTCATGGAACACCAAAAGAAATTACTGATGTGAGGAGTACAAGTATTTTGTGGTTTATAGCATAATAGTTTCAATGAGTAATGAACTTTTTTATATTTAGTATCCTGTGGAATGTACTTTAAGCTCTGGCTATTACTTCTTACAGTGTTCAAGGTCTTCTGGTGTCAGACCAGTTGAAGCGTGTTTTTTCTTTTTCTATAATTACAAATTAACTTTGATCGTTGCTTTTATATTCCTTTTGTATCATAGGATTTAATTTAATTTTAATAAAAAATCTTTATATATTTGTATATTTTGGTTAAATCATTTTGCCTCCATCCAAGTGTAGCATGTAAGGGAATGATTCAATGAGGACAGTTCTCACAGAATATTAATTAGCCTACAAAGTTTTTAATACATATGGAAACTAAGAATGCTAAGTGAAAATTTCAAGGTCTGAACTAGACCCTGAAACTTAAGATGTATGCTGATTGCATTAGGTTAAGTCCTGCTTTTAATATTTTAATCTGATCTGAATTGCAGGAAAATGGTTAGATCAATAAACTTAAGAAAGGAATTTACCTATTTTCTTTTTGTATTTCTTCAGATCAGCTATCAGGTGCTGTATTGTAGGTGGAGAAATTGTTTACTCAACATGCACGCTGGCCCCAGCACAGAATGATGGAGTCATTCAAGCTGCTATGGAGGAATTGTTGGAGACTTCACAGGTATCAGTTTCTAAGGAATTTTAATGTCTATGATAACCAGATTTTTCAGATTTGTTATGAGCTTGATGCCGATTTAACTCTTTATCTCCGGCAAGCCGCTTCCAGTGGCTTGTGGTCAGACCCGCTGTGCCAGTGAGCAGCTGACATGGGAACATTCCTTTTACGACGACTTTGATATCAAATTACGTCTATTTTATTGGGATTTTATTTATTATATGAAGGCCTATCAAAATATTTAAGATAAGATAGTGCTTTATTAACCCAGAGGGAAATTTTCCTTGGCTGTACAGGACCGTAAAAACACATGCTGCCCAAAAAAAAAAAAGGTTTTCTTGATTTTATTTAACAATAATTTAGTGACGTTTTTGTCATTTTTAGGTTTAGTTCCAAAAAAGGGGACCCTGGCATAGTGGTTTTGCCCCCTCGGTGAGAAAGAGTTTATAGTGATTGATGTTGTTTATCACATTGCACCCTAAGGGTCTGGACGGGAAGTCCATTGTTAGATCCTAAGCAAGGGGAAGGAACCCACCTCCCGTGAATAATAGCCTTTAAAAAATGCATTTTAAAAATACTTAACAAAATCCAAAAATCCTGAAAAAATAAAAGTTAAAACGGATAATGAATGCAGTTTCAGAAAAATATAACTTTATGTATGCGCAAACTGTTGGAAATGTTCTAACTTTAGTTCAGTCGGAGTGTCCGGCCCGTCACTCTCACTCTCAGCCTCGCGGTCGGGCCCTAGATCTAAATTCTAGATTTTCTACAACTAATCAGTCTGAATCGCCCTAAATTCTTGCTACAACGTTTTCATCAAAATCTGAGTTATCTGATTAGTCATATGCTTTTATGTGCTCAAATCCATCGTTATTTCCTTTTTCGAACTCAATTGTGTTGCTTTTCTTTACAACAAGTCGAGACACCTACGAAGTGTCGGTAACGCGATCGGCTCTAATACTAAAACTACGGGCCCGAAAAATTTCGTTGCGGCATCAAACGAAAAAAGAAACTTTTTGCAATAACTATGCAAATCAAAATCTCGGGCCCAGAGTCTCGTCAAGGCGAGACTTCGTTTCTAAAGACGCTAGGTCGGCACGGGCGGTTCCGGGCGAGTCAGGGTGGAGCGCGTAAGGGAATTCCCGGGCAGTCCCGGGCGAGTTAGGGTGTAATGTGTTATTGACACACTTCTAGAGTACAACAGAGATTGAAATATTGATATTGAGCAAACCGCATATTAAATACAGTGAACCTGGGCTACAATGGGCTCGGATTCAACTAGAACTAGGCTTCAACAAGAAAAATCTGCGTTATCTTTAATTTAATTTTTGTCTTTGTTTAATTACTTTGGATTGAACGAGGTCTAAAGATTTCAACCATGGCACTAATGAGATAGTAGGTACCACAAAGAAAAAAAATTAAAAAATTGTAAGTAGATTTTCTTTATTGGATCAGAAAGAGGTGTAGAACTGATGAAATTCACCTTTTAAATCATGAAAATGGGACAATGAATAAAAAAGTTATCAAGCTTAATTTATTTCAGAACATAGCGAATTTCACACGGTATGCAAAACAAGCAAAAAAGCGAAACTTTGAACAGTCGCACAATCATGATGTAACAGCAGTGCACATACTCATTTGTTATAGTCTTCTTGAAGTCAAGGACAATGTTGAGGCATGCAAAAACCAAAGAAAACCTCGGGCTTATAATTCCGATTCTGTAAACCCATAAAATTGTATGAAAAATGGCTTTTAGTGAACAATTAATTAATTGCCCTCAGTGTAAAAAAAAGAATGATATGTTTCGAAAGAGGAAAGAACACTGAACAAAAATATATGTAGATTTTTGTTATATATGTCAATGCTAGTTAAAAGAAAAATGGCATGAATCTGACTCGAAATGAATGCTTGGCCTCATTGGCGTGCACTTTTCCAGGATGCAAACTCACACTGTTGGCTTACTTAGAGATAGTGAAGTTCAAATTGAACAGCCTCTGAAGACACCAATCCCGGCCATAAAAAGATATTTTAGTCGAGTTCGTACTGTCATGTCGAGCACTTCACTGAACAGACACAGGCCCACATAACTCAAACATCTTGCATTTATTCACTTCTCATCAATAAGGCCCTTGATACATACAGCCTAGATCTAGTTCCTTGAACCGTGAGTGACATTGGGATAACAGTGGAGTGACTGAATGGGAGGGGTGTGGGGTAGGAGGGTCAGTGATTTGCTCACACATTCGTTTTTAACACCTGATATAGCACAAAGATACACAAGGAACTTTCAGCACAGGGCATGTTTGGTGTGGAAAAAGACCTCTGATTAGTCGCATAAAACTGTTGTGTGTCTCTGTGAGTCTCAGCAATATGTACACTTTCAAGTACGCAATAGCCTAAAAATATAATGATTGCTGGTGCAGGGTGGTTGATAGTTCCTTGGGATGGATTAGATAAAATTTGTTGCAGTAGGAAAATGTGCACTGCTCATGCTATAGTAGAGGAGACTGTTCTCACAGCAAAAGGATTGGTTGGGTCTGGGTTTGCTCATTAAGTTGTTCAGTGAATACGAGTTATTTTGTTGATATAGATTAAATTATTTTTAAAAAACGGGATTTGTTCTTCTTTCCTTGAGTCAGAGTTCATTATTTCTCTATCGGAGTTTCTCAGTTTTTCTGTGTCTTGAAAGTTAAAGGTTCTCCTTTTGAAATTCTTAAATAGATATGCAAATAATAATAATGTTGGGAACAGAGAAAGTCTTTATTCTTTGTGAAGTGAGCTTAATAATAATAATAATAGATAGCATTTGTATAGCGCATATCCCCGCTCAACAGCAGGCTCTATGCGCTTTACACTATATTATTACCCCAGCAGACCATAGAACACTCCGAAACATTCTCAGCTTCCCGGGAAGCATACAGTGCGAGCAGCCGATTAAGCGCTCAAACACTAACAAACTGACAAGATCTTTCGCTGTCTATAGCCGGGTACCCATTCCCACCTGGGTGAAGTGAGGAAAATAAGTGTAAAGTGCCTTTCCCAAGGACACAACATCGGGCCCCTGACGGGATTCGAACCCCTGACCTTACGGTTGCGAGTCCGAGAGCCTAACCACTAGGCCACCGACGCCACAACCGACCAAAACCCCATATTTTTCTGTGGATCCTTTGTTATTTAACTATTTTATTTTTTTCTCATCCTCAGATTGAAGTTGCTGTTGAGGACTTATCTCCTTTGGCTTCAATGTTCAAGGACACTTTCACCTTTTTTGAGAAGTCAAGGTATGGACAGACAATCATCCCAACTTTGCTGAACAACTTCGGTCCCTCTTTCTTTGCCAAGCTCCGGAGAATTAAATAAAGTATCACTGCTTGAAGAATTGTAAATTGTTTCAGTGACCCAGAGTGATAGTGAGCATGGACTCTCAAATAGTGTCAAATAATGTTGATAACACAGCATAGGTTTGTTATCTTAGAGGTGTGTCTTTGAGCATAAGGAAAGAACAGATAATATAAGATAAACTGTATTGATCCACGAGGGAAATTGTAGGTGGATATATCGGAATCTCAACGTACAAAGATTCAACATCAACACAGAAATGCACTCATCAAAACATTCATGTTTCAAGGATACACTTACAGAGATGCACAACTCACTCACACAAATGTACCCAAAGTGTGTTCGTGGTCATGAATTCTCTCATGGCACAACAGCCCTTACAAAAATACCCCCCCCAGGGCCTTATGTAGTAGCAACCAGGAGTGAATTATTTGTTTATTGTCTGTATTTTTGTTATCATTGCATTTATGCGATGTTGGTGTAACATTTGAATTGTTTTAGTTTTGTACTTGCTCTTGTAACCCAAATTTCCCCAGGGGGTCAATAAAAGTGATACAATTGTTGTTTATTACTTTTGAAACTTATGTTACTAATTTTTGTTGTTGTTTCGTGTTTGTTCTAAAAAACATCACAGGTTAAGTAAAATTTCGTATTAACATCTTTTTTTCAAGTTCACTCCTTACTCAGTCCTAATCAACTTTTGGAACGAACTTCATTTGACTTCTAATCAATCTTGAAAATTACTGGACTGAATATACGCTGCTCTTTCTCTTTAAGTTTTCACGAAAACTATTATGTTCAACACAGTGAGAATCTATCCTGTAATCTGAATGTATTGAAAACGGATAATGCCGAAACATGAAGTACTCACTCAACAAGGATGCACTTTTCAATATCTGGACATTGCACTCACCCTTTTCTGTGGGTGGTTGGCGGGTGCTCTGGTGTGGTTTGCTTCTTCTTTCCTATGAAACATTTATTGTCCTTATCTCCCCTTCTTCTTTGTGATGTTTGTTACTCTCTTGTAACACCTCAAATCTTCTGGCGCTCATATGACCTTATACAGTTGCGAGCGCCGTTAAACCTCTACAATGGGTGGTTGGCGGGTGCTCTGGTGTGGTTTGCTTCTTCTTTCCTATGTAACATTTATTGTCCTTATCTCCCCTTCTTCTTTTTTATGTTTGTTACTCTCTTGTAACACCTCTAATCTTCTGGCGCTCTTTTGACCTTATGCAGTTGCGAGCGCCGTAAAACTTCTACTAAAAAAAAAAAAAAAAAAAAGAACCTCTACAAAAAAAACCCCCAAACCTTACTTTCTGTGGTACTTAACTGTAGTACAGGTATTATCAAAACGTTGTCAAATACTTGATCACACAGAGATGTCAGTATTTATACAATCTAGCACATCATGCACATGTCATATTTTCTGTAGAGGACAGTCAAGAAAACATAGCATGAAATATTCTACAAGCTTTATTGTAATCTGCTTTTGTGTGAATTGTCTCACTCAGATACTCATGGCTGGATTCTCTTTCTAAGCCTAAGTCTGGGCCCAGAGCATAAGGGTTCTTTCAACAGACTCCCCAGATCACTCACGTGCACTTATAAAATCAGTTGAATAAATTAAATAGTCTGTACAAAAAAAGATCCTAAGATCACTGCACACCCTTCCCCCCTCCCCTTTTTCCACTAGCGTCTATGATGTAGCAGTTTAGTAACGTGTATCTATAGAGCCTTTACCATTGCACCCCGAAGGCCCGAGTTTGATTCCTGTGTGCGGAGATCTTTTACCAAGTACACATGGTCTTTCTGCTGGGATATGTACCTCTCAGCCAGGGTACTTCCTGACAGGCAGGGTTGAAGCCAACCTCCTAAATGATATAAATTGTATTGATTGGGGCATAAAAACACTTAGGTCAAAAGAGCACCAAAAAAAAAAAAAAATCCAACCGCTTCCCGTCACAGTCACAGACAGTTGAGACAGTCATTTTGTAAGGTTATGTAAAAAAAAGACATGGCAATGAAACTTAAATTTCACAGAAAGGTAAACGAATTATTGTATATATATTTGTGTACATGCACCTTAAGCGTGTACCCGAAACCAAAAAGAGTTACAAAAAAAAAATCTTGATCACACTTTTTCTTCCTAGGGAAGAATCAGTTCCAGAAAAAGACTGGCATATGAAGGTTGCTGGCGGCGGGTGCTCTGGAGTGGTTAGTTCCTTTTCACCTATCAAAACGTTACCGTCCTCATCTCCCTTCTTTCTGCGTACAGTGGGGTCCAAAAGAAACTTGAAAATGTTTTCACCCAATCATTATGTTAAAGCCTTGCGCTACCCACTCATGCAGCATACCAATTTAAAGGTAAATAAATTCTTCATCATATGACAGTAATTTTTCATCTACGACACGAGTCGCCCGAGGTGGTCTCTCAAAACTGACCATAAAAAAATCATGCTTTGCAAAATGATGTGAAATCAAAGAGAAACGTAAAAACTTGTTTGCGCTTGTATTTGAATACACAAACATTGGTGGAATGGACATGTATTGCATAATATATCAAATTAATGGAGAATATTGATGTCTCTGCTCAGAAAAATGCCGTATTGCGATGTTTTCAAACAGATGGGAAGACAGAGCAGTCACCAATACCACTTAAAACTTGAGGTGAACGTTAAATGTGCTCATTAATACATGTATTTTGTTTACGAACCTTTGGTTTTGTATAGACACCAACCCCCCTTTTTTAAAGCTTGGACTGTGTTCGATTTTAGACATAATCACCTGTCACTGAGAAACAGAGATCACGAAACTGCCTTGGTTTAGGGTAGCTAGCTGGAATGAACAAAATACCACGAGTGAGAATGAACGGGAGGCTTCGTTTTGAGGATTACATCGCGCAAGTGTTGAAACGTCACACCATATTCACATTTTCGGCATGATGTCATTCAAGTAGACATATATATATATCTTTCTCACAACGCCTTTAGGCAATTCTTGGGAAAGCAAGCCATACCGACGACGGAGTGGTCATCAGTAAATACATGTATCCCCAATGTGAACCCTACAGATGTGGCTCCCTCAGAAGTTTATTGTTTTTGTAAAGTGTTTTACGGCGCTCACAACTGCATAGGTCATATGAGCGCGCGGGACACTCCTACTATTTTCAGTTGGTAGAAAATTTTGAATTTTGTCCGGGTGGCGGCCGAAGCCTACTCTTATCGATTTTAGACCACCAAGGGATCTTTAACGTGCGCAACTT